GGCGGGTGGAGGTGTCCCCGGCCGATGGCAGGGGGTTTGGAACTAGATGATCTTTAAGGTCCCTTCCAACCCAAACCATTCTATGATTCAGCCACCCTGTGTCTATGATTCCCACAGGGACATGGGCCACATGTCATGCATGGCCCCATCAGGGGCTGTGCTGCTGCAGGCACTGTCCTGCTCAGGAACGACACCTGTGTCCTGCCTGTTTCTCGGTACCCCACAGGACAGGTGTATCAGTGCTGAGGTGCATGGGGCACCCCCAGCAGGGCATCGACTGAGCCTGAGCCAAGTGGGACAGGACTATTCAAGGGGCGCTAGCCCAGGGGCTGTTGGCAGCATGCCAGATACAGGGCTGGGGCCTGCTGGAACACTGTATCCTGCCAGCATATTCCTGCCCGAGTCACTGCACGCTCCTGCCTGGGCAGGTCTGCAGCCACAGCCCCGCACTGGCACAACAGAAGGCCTACACCACCCACGCACCCTGCAGCTGGGCTAGCCTCACACACACTCACACCCCACCCCCCCCACCATCAGTGCACACACATATATATAAGGACCCATACCCCCACTCACCCCTATGCCCTCCACCTTATACACCCGACAGCTGCAGAGCCCCACCCACAACCTGTACACCCCCTGCCCTACACACACACCCGTTATGCACTAGAACACCCATATCCCGTACTCCCTGAAGCCCTGTATTTCACACTGTTTACACCCCCGTACCTCAATACACACACCCTACACTCCTTGTGAGTCCCATGCCAGGGTGGGCTGAGGTATCCAGGCAAGAAAGGGGAGAACGACCTTCCTCAGGGCAGCCTCCTACCCCGGGCCAGGCATGTCTGCTACCACCCCGCTGTCACCCCAAGGCCTGTGAGGGGGATGGGCCGCACCGGATGCCAGGGTTCCTGGAAGAGACCCACGTGACTTCCCCATATGCTATTAGCAGCCCTTGTTGCCGGGCAGAGCTTTGCCGGGCGGGGCAGAGCCCAAGGGTGCACCCTGACAACCCGAGAGAAGCCAGGGTGAGCAGCAAGGCAGGGTCTGACCCCAGGGCTCAGCCCAGGGAGGGAATGGAGGCCAGCATCCCTTCCCTGGGGGCAGGATGGGACCTCACACAACTGGCCAGCTGGCCCAGTCACAGACCCTTCCACTGGGTGTGTGGGGGAGGGGAGGGGGGCACTGAGGCCTGACAGGCTCATTACAGGAGTGTAGTGACACCTCCCTCTCACCCCCCACGCAGAAGCCAACAACCAAGTATTTGTCCTCTTGGAAACCCACAACCAAATATTTGTCATCTCAGCCCAAATGAGTCACCTGCCCCCACACCCAGCATCTTTCCCCTGCAGGAACAATCCCAGAAAGCTCGGCAGGGTGGGGTCCCCAGCACCCAGCTGTGGCCACCCTGATAAGCCCCAAAGCCATTTTTCTGGGGGAGTCAGTGCTGCTTCTGGGAGCCCCTCTCCCACCAAAGCCTCCCCATTTCAGCGACATGTTCACAGTGGGGGACTATACTGTGTCTGCCCAGTCTCCCTGACTCAACTCCCAAGGGCTCCTCATGGATCCAGCTCCACACTGCTCCTTCCATGGGGAGGAAACATCTGGGGCAAAAGCAGACCAGGCTCCTGTCACAAGAAATAACATGAAATATTATCTGAGCCCCCAACACAGTATTAGGACCACCAAACCAGCAACTGGCAGGAATTGGGGTTTTTTTGCCCAGCCAGGGGATTTTCGGCATTTGCATATGTGTGTGTCTCCTCCCCCACGAGCAACATCAGTGCAAGCTTTCCAACACTCCCCACATGAGGCAGCAGGTCCAGATCTTAGTTCAGCCCTATTTCAAACAGAGGCAGTAGCAGGAAGGGAGGGTGCTGCTTTTCCAACACTTCCCCTCCCACCACAGGACAGTGCCCAAAAGCCCAGCCGATGGTGAGAAATGCCCACACCCCCTCCTTCCCAGGGGTCTCAGGCAAGAGGACCCCAAATAAACCAGGCTGGGTGCTGAAGATGCCCCTAACCTGCAACACATCCCCACATACACACATGAACGCCAATCATCAAACACAGCAGCTGCTTTAATCCCCCCCCACACCCTCTTATTTACGCAAAAGTTTCAGGGAAGCCAAACCCAGCTTCTGCTAAAAGGCCTTGCTGGAGCGGAAGAGGAAGTCCATGGCTTATCAGTGCCGAGACAGGCACTATCAGAGCACTGTGGCTTCCAGGAAGCACCCACCAGAACCTTTGCATATTTCCATGGCAAAGGCCCAGCTTTGCATGAGTGCCCCATTGCACCCCGAGGGACCAAACAGGCCCAAATTAGCCTGCAAAGAGACAAGGTTAAAAAAAAAAAAAACCAAACACACAAACACACACACACAACCCCGACACCAAAACAACATTTTGCAATATCTACATAACAGGGCTGAGACACCAGCTTATTTTCAGTAGCAAGAACCTTGCCAGCACTGCAGGAAGCTGTTGCCTCTCCCCTGCCTTGCCCCATCTGCAGTAAGGCTTGACAGCCCACAGCACTGGAGCCACCAGCAGTTTTGAGGGTAGGGAAGTGCTTTGTCCCTCAGAAGGTGGATTTTCCAGCCAAGGCTCCTATAGCAGAGCTGTTGCTGGCATGAGGAAGCTGTTCAAAGCACCGCCTGTAACCGGGCTGTGCCCTCCCCGCCCCAGGGAGGCCATTACTCCATG